TTTTTTTATAAGAAATCACTGAAAGGCCTGGAGTTTCTTTGCTCATACAGAGCATTGGTTTAATGTAGCAGCACACCACCTCATGTTTTCTATTCACAACCAGTCAGCTGGTGGTATACTGTACTTACCTTCAAAAAGAAAAACAAAATCAGATGAAAAAAAAGATATATATATATATGAGGAACAAATATATATATATATATATATATATATATATATATATATATATATATATATATATATATATATATATATATATATATATATATATATATATATATATATATATCTTTAACCATAAAGCAGATTGATTTTTGCTTCAGTTTTAGGAGAAAAACAAAGTTTCATCTCTCTATATGATCTAAGTGTATTTACAGATCTACATGTCTTAGATGTTCTGGAAACAGAGGTTGAAGAGGAAGAGTCCCAAACTTGCAAAGAGCAAAACACTAACAAAGTCATGTCCCTTCCACAGGAAAAAAAAAAAGTATTAAGTTATCGAAACAGGAACGTTCCACATACATCTCAGGCTCTATTTGCAAGAGCTGCCTCTCTTTCAGTGTGCTGTCTCAAGGCTTGACAGTGCAGTGAGTGCAGCAGAATGAGGTGGAGAAGCCCAAAGGAACCCCTTTCCTCTTCAGCAGGCCACATTAACCCAGCAGGGCTCTGCCTTTATGGCTCTCCTGCTCACACTTCAGTGATGAGAGTAAACAAGCAGCGGGCCAAAGGTCAGCTAAGCCCACAGAATAAAAGAGGGCACAAGGGGGAAAGGGAGGTGGGAGGAAAGGAGTGAGGCCCGAGGCGCTGCTCATATCACTGTCAGGGCTTCAAGCAGGGAGTGATGTACGAGACAACAGCCATGAACCGGAAATGATTATAAACAGAGCACTGGGGGTGGATGAGGAAAGAGTTGCACTGTCTTTATCTGTCAAATTTACTCCTTGCTTTGGATCAAATAGTTACAGTATAACCTGTACAAATGAGAAGGAGAACCAGGTCTGGCAGATAGGCATGGATTGATTGCAGTTTTCCTTTTTTTTTTATCCAGACCAAAGAAGAGGAATGAGGAACAATCACGCATGCATGTTTTTTTTCCCCCTCATGGGCCCCACCTGTATTGTTGAAAGACAGATGAGGCCAATTAAGGACGCGTGGCATCGTTATTAAGACAACTTCTGATTTTACCTTTTCATTTTTACATACTTAGAGTTTTCTGGTAATTAAGTGAGCCGGCGTCATGACCGTGGCCTCTGTGAAATATCTGCAGCAGGTATAGATTTTTCATTCCTAAGTTCATCGCTCGTAGGCTTTAGCAAGGTGACTCTCCCTTTGCACTGAGATTAGTCCCACTTTGACTGTGGAGGTGGATTAGAGCTCAAACTTGTTTTAATACCCATATCATCAGACAAAAAAGAAAAAGAAAAAAAGGAGCGGGATAAAGATTTGAGCAGAAATGCAGCTCTATGGTGCTAAAATACAGCTGGAATCATGAGTTAGCGCAGATTTGTCTGCCACACAGCAAATTAAAGATATTATCTCGCTGCAGGTTATATTGTGGAGCCATGTTCAGCTTAAGCAGTGGATCCTAAATCTTTTAGCTCCTTCAACAAAGGTTTATAGTAGGCGACAGAGATAGCTTCTTGTATAGTTTTTATTTCATTTTTTTTTTTTTTTGCTCCTTTTGTCGTTCTCAACACGTTATGAATGACCAGCTTCAACTGCTGTGGCACAAACACACCCTTGGCGGACTCCTGCAGGGCCGCCTGCTTCTCGGAGCAGCAGAGTAATCATTTTTATCCCACTGATTTCCCAAATACAAATGGACACATATGATAAAAGTGTCGCGGCCACTCCACATGTCTGTGAACTAACAGGATTACACGTCACTCTCCAATGTTTGGGCCCCAGTATTGTGTGCAGGAACTTTCGGGTAATATATGGTGAGAGACAAGGAGCTCTTTATGGTCTGTGATTATTTAGTTTGAATGAAACCAGTGATTTATGCCCATTTAGCTGCAAAGCCCTGTAAATTCCCCTCAGCTGTGTTTTCCCTTGGATGTAGAGTGAGCGGAGTGAAAGTGACAACTGGGTTTGGTGTGGAATAGTGCGCTGCGTCCCCGAGTTATATTTAATATACCTGACATGAAAAACGTGCCTACCTACTTAGCACCACCCGCAGCACAAAGGAAAAGCCGTGTCCTGCTGTGCTCCTGGTTGAAACAGAGTAGGAGTAAATAGCAAATTAGGAAATATGAACTGTTATGGCAGATAAACCACCAGCTATTAGAGCACGTTGAGATATGTAGCCAAGCGTCTGGTCAATCAGCATTTGAGCTGTGTGCCTGTTTTGTGTTTCCTGTTGCACGCCAAGCTGAAGCAGAGAAGCGGCGAAGTCAAGAGTGGTGTGCAAATGCAGTGTGATGTGGATGGGGGTTAGTGGAGCAGCGGCAGATTGTCCACTTGGATGGCTTGGCTCTGCAAGCATGATGGAGCCCTGTCCAGCATCTCAATGTCTCCAACACAAATAGGCACATTCATCCACTCCTCTCACACCATTACACCTAAAAGACTTGAAGCCAGCCCATCCATAGATTGAGGCAAATTTGTTTTTTTCGCTGGCACTGTGATCGAACAAAACACTAACAGAGGCGAGGAGGCCACAATATGCTGCCTACTTTCTTTCTGTTGCTGTTTTTCTTATCTTAACCCTTTAAATCCCGATCCCAGAATAAAACAAAATAGAAATTTACTTTTTTTTGGTTTGAAGTCCTTATTTGGCCTTTTAACAAAATATGTAAAAAGAAAAAACAGAAATACATTTTTCATATTAATAATTTATTACTATGCGATAAGTCAAGATTATTCTTTGTGTAGTCTTCTACTGGCTGTTATCAGGTATATCTGATTGTGTACAATAGGATTTTGAGCAAAGTTTTTACCATTAAATTATGCAAAAGGTGTCAGACGCAAAAGATTTCAGAAACCGTATGTATCAAATATGATACATTTGGCATTACAGGGTTAAGATTGTTATTTCAGAAGGGACAAAAAAAGGAAAAGGGTTGCTTTCTGTATGTACCTTTGTGGACATTTGCAGGATTTACATGGACTTACATCCTGAGCTACTTCACAAAAAAAAGCAGGTAAAAAAAAAAATCTCAAACTAAGTATAAATATTCTATTTTCAGTGCAACCAGTTTTACGGCTTAAACCCTTCCCTCTGTTTTCCAACTCACTCTCTATGCCAGAATATATATATATATATATATATATAAAAATGTTGGCAAATGGCTAAAAATGTTTAGTCTAAATTTGAGGAAGGCACAGGGATTTTTTTTTTTTTTTCGAACATTAAGTCTTCTAAAGTATAAAGAAAAGCTTAAGGTTAACTGTGGTTTGATATGTTAAAGTTTAGAGTAGTGTTGCACCGATACCGATACCAGTATCGGACGGGGCCCCGATACTGCCCTAAAATGGTGGTATCGGTATCGCCGAGTACCAACAAATATGGCATCGATACCATTTTGAGAGCCATAAGTTTATTCAACTATTGTCACCCACTCCTGGTAGGCAATAAAAAGTTCTACTGGATTCACTTTGTATTAGATTTTCCTGCCTCACAAAGGTAGGCAGCAGCTTGACAAAGCCATGATGGCAATTATTTTACATTATCATGGTATCGGTATTGGCCGATACTGCACAGCCAGGTATCGGGTATCAGTATCGGGGCCAAAAAATGGCATCGGCGCAACACTAGTTTAGAGTAAAGAGGAGTAATTTCAGTACAGATTGCTCTAACAGTCGTGAAATCCATATTTCAATGCTTTGAACCAGCCATGGTCACTAATTATAAACAACACAGAGAATTATTGCTCATTAAGTACCTAAATATATCAGTCAAAAAAACAAAAACATTGCTCTGAAACTTCATGAATGTTTGTTCCCTCCCCCATGTTATTGCACCCTGGGTAGTAAGCCACATTAACCACATTTAAAACCACTATGTCCTATTAGTTGGGCTTCTCTAAGATTGTACCCACTAGCTGACACAATAGAGCCTTTAGTCTCCCCATTTAGACTCCAGAGGTTGCCCATATCTTAATGAAGCTGTAATGAGCTGTTAAAAAATCCCTGAATTGCGAGAGGGATTATTGAATCCAAACAACTCCGACGATCACAACATTGGAGTGGCCACTAAGTATTTACTGCCAATTGAACCGCCTTTTTATCCACTTACTGGGCTCGTGCTTGTTTTTTTGCTGTAATCTTGACCTGCAGTGTTTTTGTGTTTGTTTACTCTGTGGAAAGCCCTGGCATTGTGGCTGCAGTGCCAGTGCACCCAGGTGTGAATGTATGCTATCTGCTGTGTGATTAGGAAGTGCTGAGAGGCTGCCGAGACAGGCAACCAAGAGAAACAAACAGCAGGATCTGGGAGCAAAAGCACAGTTTACAAATGGACACTTTGCATACGACTGACTTGGTGCTTGTCTTGCTATGTGAGGAATTTATTCTCTCTGCAGTGTGTTTCATTAATGCTGCTAAATTTAGGCCTTGAAAAAAATTAAAGCTCATCCAAAATAAGAACATTGACTGTGGAATTCCCTCAGTCGGTTCTAGGAAGACAGAGAGACTTACAGTTGGTATAGCCTCCTGTTTAGCATCCTTTTGCAGAGTAGAAGTGCCACTTCACTATCGAGCATTTGTCAGTTTATGGATGTTGCTGTCATGTCTGCTTTCCTGAACACACAGTGTGCAGCGCAGTGTGTAAATAAAAGAGAACAGACATAGATGCAGGCGACAGGAATGAGCACATACACACAAGGCGCTCAATTCATACCTGAGAGGAAGAATTCACAGCATGGGAGACTAGAGATGGAATGCATTTAATTGCACTTAACTGTTTAGTGTTTCTTTTGTATAATTCTTACAGCTTTGTAAGGTGTTTCTCTGAAAGGCATTTGCTGAAGGTTTTTCTCTTTTTTTTTTATGTGCTGCTGCAGGTCTCAGCATCCGGGGTGCCCAAGAGGAGGACCCTCCAGACCCCCAGCTTATGCGTTTAGATAACATGTTGCTGGCAGAGGGAGTGGCGGGACCGGAGAAAGGTGGCGGCTCAGCTGCAGCCGCGGCTGCAGCCGCTGCCTCGGGCGGGGCGGCCGACAACTCTATCGAACATTCTGACTACAGAGCCAAACTCACACAGATCAGACAGATCTACCACACAGAGCTAGAGAAATATGAGCAGGTAATGCTTTTTTTCTTGTTGTTGTGCTATGTGTTGTGAAGTAAGGATTTTCTACCAAACAATGTTTTGCATGTGGAAAGAAAGTTACATTTTGGTCTCATTGGAACAAAGCACCTTCTTCCAGATGCCTGCTCTGTCAAGCTGCTCTAGTTTTCTTTTTTTCCCAATTTAAAAGTGTATGACATAAAGTCGACTTGACGACATATTCTCCCAGCTGAGCTGTGGATTTCTGCTGCTCCTCCAAAGACAATGCCTCTTGGTTGCTTCTTTGATCAGTGCTCTCCTTGTCCACCCTTTCAGATTAGGTGGACAGCCGTTAAGAGTAGACCACTAAATCAGTCAGCAGATAGATTTTCTTCTTGTATTACAGGGTTCCCGCGGGTCCTTAAAAAGTCTTAAAAGGCATTGAATTCTTTAAAATAAAACTAAGGCCTTTATTAGTATTAAAATGTCTTAAATCAGTCAAACGTACTAAGAAAACCATACAAAGAAAAATAGCTGCAAAAAAGACTTAGCACTGGTTATGCTGTGGCTTTAAAACTGATTTGTTTTGTTCCCTGCTAAAACAAAGTTTGTGAATTCAGTTAAATAATTGTTCAAATATATCTGTCATTTGTGTGTTTTTAGCTTTCTTCCTGTATGGGAAGCTTTTCAAAATCTGAAAAATTAGTGCAGTGGTTTATGTTAAAATAAACCTTTGGGTTAAGTTGTCGCATGTAGATTTTTCTTGTGTTTCTTGTGAATTTGGTCTTAAATTTTTATTTCAAGTGGCATTAAAAAGCCTTAAAAAGTCTTGAATTTACCTTGCCTTATGCTGTAGGAACCCTGTATTAGCATCTGCCGATACATGCATACTGTAAGTTAGCTAATTTGTTGAATACAGCAGCCATGCCCTGAGATCACCAGAAACTCATGCATTTCTGCTCCCTCCATTTGATATCCATTGCTAATCTTTTGATACGTGTCAATAAATGTTTCTTTTTTTCTTTTTTTGCTTAAATTGAAACTTATGAGACGTTTTTTTTTTTATCATTTCATCATTTTTATCGTGTATATGAAGGAAGAAAAAAGTAGCTTCAAAAATGACTCCAAAAATCAGCAGTATATATCAGGGATGATTTAGTCTAATCCCAAAAAAATCACCATTTGCATCTGCCTTTAAAAAAAAAAAAAAAAAAAAAAAACTGTATCTGTCGATCTCCTATAGCAATGATTTGGCAGGTTTGCAGTGCTCTACCTTGCTTTAATCAAATGATGGATTAAAGTGTCATCTGTGAAATCTTTAAAGTCTGGAATACTATGAAGCTTTTCCACAGTTTCCTCCCTGATCTGTCCGATATGATCAGGGAGGAATGCCTTCACAAAACAGCTGGATTTAAACTGAGATTAGATTATAGACTAGTTGTGTCCTCAAAACAACTAGTTCACTGGATTTTAACATTCTGAAAGCCACAACTCTGCAGATACTGTTAAAGTGCATAATTGTAATGTGATGAAATGTTAACAGCCCGTCTATTTCACCCTGTTTCCTGTTAAGTACCAATTTTATCCATGTTCTTTTTAACTATTAAAACTTTATGCATGTCTTCCTCATGGGGATGTGGAGCTATAGAGCAGAGTTTAGGCTGCTGCAGTGAGAACAGCTTATGCCCTCCATTACTGCGAACATTTCTGGTAATGTGATGAGAGAGAACAGCTCAGGAAAACAAATTGCGGTATTATGCACTGCGTTCTAGATGATTATAGAGATCCCAAGGATTATACTCGTCATCTTTGTTCAATAAAAAGTATGAAGAGCTCCTTCACCTGGCACTTTCAGCCTCCCATTAAGCACTGAGGCATTATGGGTTAAAAGAAAAGGTGTAACAGTGATGCCTCAGCAAGCCACTGAGCTAAATTAGACTAATTTACTCTGCTTTGCGAGAGGAGGTGCAGGGGTACACAACACTTTGCCCGGAGTAAATGCATCTTTCTTGAGGGTGTTTCTGTGTTTTAATTATCTAAATGTAAATACTTAACGAATTTTACTTAGAGTAATGAGCTAAAGTGTGCACTGCGTAAATGAGTTATTCTAATTAATCTTGTATGAACTACTGGTTTAACCGAGGCCTGTTTGAGTTCGCATTGCATTATGGCCAAGCAAAAACTGCAAATGTGCATTTATTGAAAAAATGACTTCATCTATCACGTCATCAGAGTCACATGAGCACCCTGCTGAAGTTCATTTGTCAAATTAAAATATTAGATACATTTTGGAAAATCAATCAGCAGCTTTTTTTCTTTATGTCTGAGATTACAGATTAGTCACTTTGGGTGTTTATGCCTTTCTGTTTCCTTCAGGCATGTAACGAGTTCACTACCCATGTGATGAACCTGCTGAGGGAACAATCCCGCACGCGGCCCATTTCGCCCAAAGAGATCGAGCGCATGGTGGGAATAATCCACCGCAAGTTCAGCTCCATCCAGATGCAGCTGAAGCAGAGCACCTGTGAGGCTGTCATGATCCTGCGCTCCAGATTCCTTGATGCCAGGTCTGTAGAATGGGAGTGTTTAGCAAACAGTTGTGGATATAAAGACAATACACACTGCTATTAAAATGCCAGGTTTTGGGATGTCAAAGATATTTAGCTTGAGAAATCATTGCTAAACATTTGGCACTTTTTAATCTGTATATTGAATTAATCAAGTTGAAAACACATCAATTAAAGAGAAAACAAATCAGAAAAAGTTAAATTATAATTCGCATGCAAAATTTTGTCCACACATAATCTAAAACTTTGTTGAAACCTCTTAAGATTCAGTATTAACATTTAGTCTTCCTCACAACCGACCATCAGTAATACAGAATCCAGCGACCTGTTAGTAAAGTTCAAATATTTTAGTAGGATTACTACAATGATTGCTCATTTTTCACTTATTATCTATAGGAGCACAATTCCCACAGTGAACCACGGTGGTGGCTGCATCATGCCATATTCTCACATGACCCTTTTTTTCTAAAGGTAGAAAAAAAATCATCAATAGTTTTAAATATCGGTCAGTTTTGTCCGCAAACCTTCAAATGTCATCAAGAGAACCAAAGAAAAAGGATTTCATTTTTTATGTCACAGTAAGTTCAAACAAATAAAATTACAAACAAAAAACCCTGAAAACAATAATGAAATGCCCTAGCCAGAGTCCAGAAGATCTGTCAGAAAAGCTCTAAAGTCACTTAAGCCGACATCTTAAAAGTTTAATAGCTTTAGGGCTTCTCCAGATGTGGTGCAAGGCAGACGGATACAGAAGATGCTTCCTACATCTATCAACATCTGAAACAACTTTTGAAAAAAAAAAAGCAGATGAGTTATTAAATTGAATTTGCCTTAAGAATTAATGAAGTACTATATTACTTGAACCAATTGAATTGAAGCGTAAGTCTTATAGACATAAAGAACTTTCAGAAGCCAGAGTTTGTAAACAAATTAAGAAGTTAGATAATGATGGATCGCTTCTTAAGAAGAATGAGATTGAATTAAAAGGTTTTAGTTTAGAGGAATATGGCTGTTGCACCTTTAAATCACTATATATCCACCAGACAGATCTGTTTGTTTTTGGGATAAATGTCCCATTAAATATGGATACAATGAATTAATTATGATATTAGTCACATTTATTAGCATAACTAACAAAAAAGTGAAGTTTTTACACATTTTATATCCACGGATGTGTGGATCTGGAGCACAACAGAGATGCATGAATTTAATTACATCCATGTCCCATACATTATCCTTTTTGAAGACAATCTCCGCTCTACACCTGAGAGCAGTTAGGACCGAATGAAATGGGGCCGAGTCCTGAGGTAATGGATGGAAGGGAGGTCATCAGCAGGTGTTGTGGATTACTCTAATCACTAACAGTATCCGTGTAGCGTGGAACCGCGCGCACAAGTTCTGGCCAAACAAGCCGAGTGGAAGCACATTTGCTGCCCGCCGCCTGCGGTAAACAAGGCAAAATAAGCAAATGCTCAACAACATGATAAGTAGTGCCCTTGGGAGGGAAGGGGACCCAGATCTTGTTAGAGTTTTCCTTGTTTCTGCTGTAGAACCCAGGGCCGTGGCACTTCAGGAGCAATGCTCAACTGTGCATGCCGTAATTTCTATAATGCACTGAGATGCACTCCGACTGGGCTTTTGCGCTCCATCACGAAGTCCACCCATCCGCTGCACTAAACTCTCCACATTACACGCTTGGACTGGGGATTGGAGACCCACAGACCAAATTAAGCATTCTATGTGTTTTGAGACTGGGTGCATTTGTGTGTGTGTCAGCTTATTGGGGTCCAAGATTGCTCTTTTCTAAATGCAGGCCACAATTTTATACTCCCAGAGGCCCTTAAAAACAATTCCTCATTATTTTCACCATTTATGTGTGAAACTGATTGTGCAGTCAAAACTGGACGGGTTCACGCTGGTTTTGCTAACAGGCCCTTTTCTCTGTCCGTTTTCTTCTTTTTGTTCTTCACTCAGGCGAAAAAGGAGAAACTTCAGCAAGCAGGCAACAGAAATTTTGAACGAATATTTCTACTCGCACCTCAGCAACCCGTACCCGAGCGAGGAGGCTAAAGAGGAGCTGGCCAAGAAGTGCAGCATCACCGTTTCCCAGGTGGGTACCGCTCCTTTAACAGTGGGCTGCTGGGCAAAACGAGGTAGGGGGGAGCCTAGAGGGACCGTCACAGTGGGTCACACCATCCAGACACAATGTCCTCTGCTAACCTTGGCATTGTGACTGCCTAATGATGCTTCAGTCAAGGCCTGGTCCCAGTCAGTCAGAGCAGGGCCACTGGGAAGGGAGGCCTATATCATCTTTGCCTCAATCATAGCACTATGCTGTCCTTCCTTACTGTGGGGCCCCCTGACAGTTTTCCCTCTCACTCCCAACCTGTTTCCTCCTTCCCTCTCTCTCTCATTTGCCCGGTCAGTCATTCAGGTCGTAGGCTGGGAAGATAAAAATGGCATCATCCATTACATATAAAAAAATAAGTTAAAGGCTGGTGCTTCAAAACTCTAGGTGAAATTTGGTTTTTATTCGTATGTTTTACCTTCAAGTGGCCTGGTAGGAGTCTGCTAATTCATTGTTACCCCTTTAAAGATGAGGCTTTCCCTCTTTCTATAGATCATATCCTCCTCATTGGTACACCTGAAGGCAATATCCCTCATATCCAACAACAACCCCCTACACATCCAAAGTATTATTATCCTGTGGTCTCCTTTTTTTTGTTCTGCTGTGATTGTGACTACTATAAAGATTTCTATCCTCTGTTGTTCTGTGGCTGTCCCTAAGAGACACAATAACGTGGAAACATGAATCTATACAATTATCTGCAGTGTTTTGTGTGTGTGGGGAGGGGGTATATTGAGTGTAGTCATGAAGAGTCAGATACTGTAAAAGCCCATTCTTTTTTGCCTTCAGGGGGTGGGAAGCACCATCACAGTATCACAGGTATGTCATAACCTCTCCTGATCCACTGTTTTCATGTTCTTTGAACCTCCTTTTATTTGTTTTGATTGTTTTATTTTTGAATGTTGTAGGATTACAGTTTCCTCCACTGCACCGAACCTTTTCCCCTCTCACACACGGATCAATGCTAATGTTAGAGAAAAGAATGTGAAAGTTTGACTTTACCATTACTGATTGAATGGTAATATTTAGCATTTACCAACAGTTTACCTGCAAGTCTCACAGCTCTCTGACTGCATCACACCCAGTTAATCACCATATTGTGTGTAACGATGTGTCACATTCCTCTTTAGTCATTAATTATTATGATTTATTAGTTTTTTATGGTTTTGTTTATTTATTTGTTTTTGGTTAATCAATAATAACATTTATTTTGGTTTGTGTTTTTATTCATGTTTCTCCAAACAGGGCTTTCTTTCACTGTACTTAAGTGGAGAAAAAAAAAACTTAAATTTTTTTTCCACTTTGTTGATTTTATTTGATTATCTTAAGTACCTAAATTGACTTTTTTAAAAGGATTTTCTCGATGAGTGCACGCCAAACCTTCTAGATTTTAGCTACATATTTTAATTTTAAAAATACAGCGAAAGCTTTGTGTATTTTGAACTTCTATAAATTATTCTTTGCTTAGTTATTAATGATTCAGAAAAGATTTGACCAGTCCATGCACGCTTGCTTGTTCTGTTCACAACAAGATATAAATATTTAGATTATTTTCCCTGAACTATTTTTATTAAACTCTTCAGCACAAGTGGGTCACAAAACAGAGATAAGTTTTAGCAGCAATTTTTTATCAACCTCGCGACCCCCACCCAACATCTACCTGATCAGTGTACTGCAATATTTTTCTACAGATTTCCCATTATGTTGACCCAGTGCCCTTTACATAGAAAATTTAGCTGGATGCTAAACAAAGGCAGTTATAGAGCTGCACCATGAGCAGGGAGACGTATCAAAACCAATACAGAAAAATCTCTTTGTATGACACAAAAGAAAAATTTCAGAAATCCAAAGAATTTCAAATTCATCTTGATTCATAGACTCTTGAAATCCTTCGGCCTTCATTTTAGGCTGGGAAAGTTTAGAGAAAATATTTTACTATTATGTCTTTTGTTTCATGTGCATACATTGGTTTCACTTTGAAAATAAATACTTTAAGTTCAGACATAACTGGATCCTACCTAAGTGGAAAAGAGCATTAGATTATTTTAATTTTACAGTGCAGAGGTGAAATTAATTTGTGATTCAAAGAATGCATTCAATTCCTTAAGATCTGTTATTGAAGCTAAAATAGGAATGTTTTTCTGATCTAAGCTGAAGCGGTTTTAATTATTAACAGCTTCTCTGCGTTCAAGGTAGATTTCATTCTATGCAAGAGTATCACATTTATGCTTTCCATTATACAATTGGTGCTAATGTTCAGCACTGCAGTCTAAGAATCTGACTCTTCCCAAACTCTGAATAAAGGTGAATGCACTACTTCCCACAAGACTGAAGAGAATTAGTTCTTCAGATTGAGTTTTGCTACAGACCTTCCACTGCAGTGCATTGTGTTTGGCTAAACATGAAGATAACTAAAGCCAGACTAATTTGTGTGCAGGGTAGAGAAATGCTGACGAAAAGTGTCGTCAAATGCTTAATGGAAGACAGGGAAAAAAACAGAATAAAAATAACAATAGTACAGTATGAGATTTATAACTGTGAATCAGTCAAAATCTGTTGCAGATTTTGGTGGCTGTTTCCTCCTTTGCTGTAATAATCTGGGCCAAAGTAGTGCATGGCCTACTCATAAAAAGATAATAAAAATATTTTTTCCTTTTTACAAAAGTGGATTTGTTTAATACACTGCCAGGGCATTTTGCTAAATTAAACAGAGTGATGAGCATTAGAAAACATTTCTATGATTTTCATTGGTTTGTGGGCACAATGTGAGCCGTCTAAATAGGCTAGAATATTGCACGGTGTTTGGCCGTACAATCTACTGTAAGCAGGTTAAGTAAAAAGGATGATGGCCAGAGCTTTCATTGCTTCCAATTAAACCTTGCTTGTTAGTTTAACCTCTAGGTAAACCCATCAAACAATTGATGTCAAGGAAGCTCTGCCAACTGTGGGCCTCGCCTGAATGGTCATTAATTTTAATTGCGTAGATATTAAAGATTTAGAGCGCAGAGACGTGCAGGATAGAAATGATCTGATGTCCTGCAAATCCAGTCGGTTTTTACACCACAGCATTGGCGGGCTGCTAGGGATATTAAAATTTAAGCACATGGGTGGAAATTAAATAAAGCGTCATTAGGGGCAGCTGCTCTTTGGCTGGTCCAGCCGTGGGCTGCAAGGGCCTGAGAGGGGGGCTGCAGCACAGCGACAAGACACTCTAATTTATAGGGCCATTAAAAACAAGCATCATCTCATTATTATTCTGCTGTTATTGCAGAGCCAGCATTCGCACATAAGGTTCACTCTTTATAGAACTTTTCAGGGAATGATTGTGGATGTCATCATTTCAATGAAATAATGTCTGAACTAGATATGGCTTTAATCAAATTCAAAGATTAATTTGACCATATTTATTTCTTGTGAAATTTGGGTCTTGCATTAACTTTGAAAATGAATAACGAAATACACCACCTGGATTTACCTTGGAGAAGATGTAGAGCACAGATTAAAGCGCTTCAGCTGGCAACAAGTTATTTAATCCTAAATCATGCTGCTAAATAAATTAATCCAAATAAGTAAATAAAGCTGTTTAATTGTTGGGCAGAAAAAACAATTGGTGACAATATTTGAAAGCTGTAGGATTACCAAGAAATAAATCTTAGCTAGTCGCCATCAGTAGGTTATAAGTTGTCAATAAATGAAAAGATTATAAAGACAACTTTGTACAATTTAAACCATAATTCCAAACAAAAAGTCTTTATTTGGATTTTTATTTAAGGAGAAAGAAAGACATTTTAACTGATATGCTTACATTAATTCAATCCGTAACATTTTTACTATACATTTATTTACTCTTAATTCTTGTGTGTTTTCTGCTGCTCCCTTATTTAGCTCAGCATCCATTATGGCTCATTCATCAGACTGGCAAACTTTTTTTGGTGAATGCTTTTCCTGACTCAACTAGGATTTTAGGATGGCATTCAAAGGCTTAAACGACCAGATCATTGAGACTCTATAAGATTACTTCAATAAACATTCAAAGACTTATTGTACAGAATGTCCAACATATGACGTTTTTTATCTCATACATTTTCTTATGTGCGTAAAAACTTAAAATAGGAAATGTTATTTAATAGTGATGAAACAAAATGGAAGCAGGTAACACAAATATAATAATCCCAGGTAGCAGGGCTGCTTGATACACATCCGACTTTTATCTTTTCAGCTCTATTTTTAAAAGAGACTCATAATAAAAAAGAGCAGCTTTACTTCAGGTTTACACTTATTTCCTTTAAGTAATGGATGATGCCATTTTTATCAAAGAAAATATTAAGTATTTTCCTGGAAGTGTGCAGCAACAGGTGAGGGAGGGGTATCAGTATTGTGTTACACTCTATATTACTGAGGAAATTTGTGACCAGTTTTTCAGCTGCAGCATAACTGAAGACTTGAACAGTTTTAAAACCGTAACTTTCATAAACATTGATATGAGTTCCAGTCTGTAGAAAATCACTACTGATATGTGACATTGCAAACAGCTTATGTTCCTGCAGAGCTTTAGTCTTTTTTTGATCACTGTGTGTAAGCGCTTCATGTAGCTGCAAGTCTTTACTCTCCTGCACGTTATATAGAAGAAATCCATATACATGGTATGCATTCATACAAACACACAAAAATTACAACCTATGGTTTTAATAGGTGGCTTGGGCATCTGTTTAGGATGCCTCCTGGACGCCTCCCTGGTGAGGTGTTCCGGGCACGTCCCACCGGGGGGAGGCCCCGGGGAAGACCCAGGACACGCTGGAGAGACTATGTTTCTCGGCTGGCCTGGGAACGCCTTGGGGTTCCTCCTGAAGAGCTGGACGAAGTGGCTGGGGAGAGGGAAGTCTGGGCCTCCCTTCTTAAGCTGCTGCCCCCGCGACCCGACCCCGGATAAGCGGAGGAAGATGGATGGATGGATGGATGGATGGTTTTAATAACCTGCCATATTGTAGATAAATATTTTCAGTTCAGAAGAAGAATCTTTAATCGTATTTGAATAATATGATAATAGGAGAGATTAACTTCTTGATTTTATTTTTGTTTATTCTCTGCTTTTATGTGTCTTTGTAAAATCTGACATGTTGCTTTACACCAGCTAAATGTCAAACACCTTTATTTATCAACTTGATTTTTATTCTTTTGAATAAATTTTGCTTGCATGAGGTGTCACTTAACTAGAATTACTGAAGTGGAATCAGGAAGCATTCTTTTGAGAACGAAAAATTTGAATTTCGCTAACTTTTGCCAGCCTTTAAAATCAGACCAGATAGAGAAATTGTCACACAGACTTTAATGTTAGTGCAATAGGAGCCTCTTGTGTTTTAATTTTGTCAGAAGACAGATGTGGGAGTGTGTCATGCTCCCATCCATGAGAGGACACAAGTGGCTCCTGATTACAGCTTAATTAGCTTGTGTACCCGGCGGACATCACTGCAGAGGCTGGGAATTGGGTACTTGATGGACCCAAACATGACATCTTGAAACAATCACACTGCTGAATGCATGCTGCTGTGGCTGCTTGACGTCTGACTCCTCTTGCTCCTCCTCCCTCTTCTGTCTCCCACACGTAGGTATCCAACTGGTTCGGCAACAAAAGGATCCGATACAAGAAAAACATCGGCAAGTTTCAGGAAGAGGCCAACCTGTATGCCGCCAAGACTGCTGTGAATGCGGCGCACGCTGCAGCCGCTGCAGTGCAGAACAGCCAGGCCAACTCCCCCACCACTCCCAACTCTGGTAGGCACTCCTGCATATAGAATAAACATGAATAGATTAAAGATGTGCCCTCAGCCTCAGTCCTAAACCTGCTGCCTTTCTACCACACTCACTCATGCACCATTCACACTGGCAAGAGTGACAGGCTCTGCTCCCAGCTTGGGGATCACAGTGTCTCCTGTCTATAAGACAGTTGATGCCAAGCAAACTCATGCATAAAGAGAGCGTTCCTGACTTGTGAACCGAGAACACATGTTTTTGGGGGGTAATAAAGAAAAAAGGGAGTGTATTCAGAATGATGCTGTGGGATTTGTTTTCCCTTGACTTTTCCAACTTATTGTTTGTAAGGATAATGGCATTTAGTCTAACTGAATAGTTTAAAATAAAAAAAAAGAACAAAAGTAAGTAATCACTGAGGGCATCACATCAGGGGCAATATGAGATTATGTTGAGTCTACAGTGCGGGAAAAAAGCATTTCTTCCGATTTAGCTTTTACACTAAACTTTGTAAATTTGTTATACTTAAGAGCATTTTCAGATAAAAACAAAGGTTTTACCTGTAAATGCAAAACATGTTTTCTAAAGATGATTTAATTCATTTTCAGGAAAAAGCTTTATGATGAATTTCACCAGCCACACCCAGCGTGGACATCTGCCTGTCGTTCAAGACTTTCTTTTGAAAGAAAAAGCTGACATGAAGTAGAGAGAAAATCTATAAAAAAGCATTACATCACATTCTAATCTAAAAAAAAAATCATTGTCATCCTTTCAGTTAGAAAAAGCAATCTACAAAGGCTTTGGGATCTCAGAAAGCCGCAAATAAAGAAAAAATGGAAACCAAGGAGTTCGTCCCCAACCAAAATTAATCCAAGTGTGCGCTGGTGACTCCTCCAGGAGGTCACAGATGACTCTAAAGCATCTAAAGTACTGAAAGAATCACATCTTGATTAAATAACTGATTCGATTAAAATGGAACTTGTAAGAAATTACTCATTTGTATCTGGTGTAAAACGGACAAATATGTTTAGCTATCAATTCATAAACTTAAACATAGACTCACTTAAGCAGTAGAGTAATGATCCACCTCTGAGTGTCTCCAAAATATGAAGATTTTAAAGTGGCCTGGCGTTAAATCCAACCAAGACATGGTGGCATATTAAATCAGCCATTTATCCTCAAAAACCTTAACTTCCAATCAGTCAAAATTGTGAGATGATTCAGTTATGATGCTAGTTATCATTTTATGACAGTTGTGACAAAAAGCTCTTACAACAAGTTAGATGCTGGTTTGTTTGGGTGGAAATCCTTTTTTCTGCACTGTACAGTCATTAAAACACAGAAACAGAGCTAAGATGGGTATGTTTTGTAATTTCTTTATGAGTAATGTTTAACTGAGTTGGACTTGGCTGACCTGCGATGGGATGTGGTGAGCTTATGAAGTGGTCCCTCTTTCTTGCACCCAGGATTCCAGATGAAAGATGAAGAGTTTCAGCTGGATTCTGCAGAGAGCAAAAACACTCTTTTAAGCAACATGTTTACTGGTACTGCTCTTTTCATAAGCTTCTTATTGTCTTTGTCATGTACCATACGAAGCCTCCCTGTCAGATTTAGCCTGGAAGTAGCTGATGTGGAACAATTGGGAGCTCAGGCAACCAAACCACATGTAGAGCCGGTCCCCCCTGTGTGTCTTGTGATCCTCATCCCATTTGTGTTCACCACATTCGTCATGAGATATTTGGTCCTTCTGCTTTTCGTTCCTCCTCTGTTTGGCTCCTCGCTTCCCTTCCTCCGCCCTCGTAGTTGCTTGCTCTGTGGAGACTTTCTTCTGTGTACTTGTCTGCCTGATTTGGGTTTGTTTTTACAGACGCACGCGTGCTGTGTGTCTTGTGTCACTTGTGCGTGGGCGGGTGTGTGTCTTTGCTTCTCCCTTTATAGCCCTCTCATGTATTCAGCCACTTACATCTTCCCTTTCCAGGTTCTTCAGGTTCTTTTAGCCTCCCAAACACTGGGGACATGTTCTTGAGCATGCAGAGTCTGAATGGGGATTCTTACCAAGGGGCACAAGTCGGAGCCAATGTACAGTCACAGGTAGGACCAACAATCAGGGACAGTTCCTGAGATGTCACCACAGAGAACTGTCCTTGTCTTGCCTGTGTACTGAGCCATCCACAGTGCAGTCTAAAGCACAATAAAACAAGCAAAAAAATTGAAATAAGGGAAAAAAACATGCTGCTCATGTGAAGGCAGCTCAAATTACCCACGAAGGCCTCCAATGATATCCTGCTGTATGAAGTGTTTACTGACTTTTTCGCTTTGGTAGGAATATTTTGGCAGCCAAAATATAATCCCACGCCACTGCTTCCGTACCAGGAAACAGTTTCCTGGTCTCAAACGTTTTGTGAATGCATTTGGCTTTGACTTGGGCTCTTGGGTTTGGTAATGGGTTTCTATGGTACTACGTCCCCCTTTCTTCCTGTGCTGTGTTTCTGTCCTTCTGTCTCATTTTACAATTGTTTGTGGTTAATGTCTTCTATCTTGTGGATTTATTTTTGTATTTAATCAACCTACAGAGTATCAACTCTGGTAAACCAGACGTTACACATACCATTGGTTTCGTTTTGGCTTTCTTTATTTGCTTTATTATGATTTTTCCTGTTTCTCCACCCATAGATTCAGTCCAGGACATTACATCTAAGCATGCTCATTTCATTCATATGCTTCACCTCCTAAGATAATCTGTTAGCTATTTAGAACTCTGGCTGTGTTGGGAGCCTGTTTTTAAAGCTTTTGATTTTACACGACTTAGCATCTCCTGCTTCTTCTAGCATGTTTTCAGTTTTATTTGAACTACTGGAAGACATCAAACTGACCAGTTTGTGCACCTTTTTTCCCCATTCAGGTGGATACCCTGCGCCATGTTATCAGTCAGACGGCAGGATACAATGATGCTCTGGCAGGAAACACCATGTATAGTCCACATGGCCTAAATGTAAGTTTCATCTCCATTATTTAGTGATACAAGACCCCCACCCTCTGTAATACTGCTGCCTTAAGCCGGGCATACACTGTGCGATTTTTTCAATCGTTGCACGATGCTACAACGCAGGGTTTCGTCGTACAGTGTGAGTTCACAGCTCAGGATGTATGTTCTTACACTGTGTTGCACGACGCTCTGATGCGATCTACCTGCTCACACTGTACGTCTAAAAACGACGTCAGACTGAGCTCCGCAGTGAGATGGCGCTACTCGGACTCATCTATTCGGAAGCCCAATGAATAGAAGAGGAATATGAGGTTCACTAGAGAGAAACGCGCTGCCTTGGCAATTTGTGCAATTTTGTGCTGAAAGCCCTAAAAAGAAAAGGCGACGACGTATTTGGACAAAGACATGGCTGAGCAAACGGGGCTGATACGGTCTGTCAGTTTTACAGAAGGAACTCCATTTTACTCATTGCACCCCCCGCTATGCTTCTGTGCTATCATTTGAAAGGTAGAAGAAGAAGAATCCTTGTTTGCGGATGCCCGCTGAATGATTGAACATGAATGAATGAATGAACATCCGACAGACTTTTAAACATGTTTGATTTTCTCGTGACCTCATGATTCCCGAGTGGGAGGTGGTCATGAGAGGCTGATCGCCCCTTGTTACCCTCTGTACACTACACAACGCATGATCAGGCTGAAAGTCGGCCTGTTCGAAAGATTCTCGTACGACTGGAAAGTTAGCCCAAAAAGGGCAAAAAAACGTACAGTGTATGCCCCGCTTAAATCAAGTATACTGTTAAGGGATAGTAGCAAATCTGGTTTTTAGCTACTAGTCTTAATTAAATGTAATCCCAGATTTTCTTGACAAGGCTAAAGCTTCTTTAAAGGGGGTCAAGACCAAATATATTAGCTGCCCTGGATCCTTGAATCAGAGCAATGTTAATGTTTTACTGGTATTGTGATGTTGGCTACTTTGTCAACTGTATGAACGCATACCCTAAACCAGGCATCCCCAACCTCGGTCCTGGAGGCCCGCTGTCCTGCAGGTTTTAGAGGTTTCCTTGCTCCAGCAAAGCTGATTTTAATTGAAAGCTGATTAACAGGCTTTTGGTCTACTGCAATCTTTATAATCAGCTGTGCTAAAGCAGAGAAAGCTCTAAAACCTGCAGGACAGCGGGGCCTCCAGGACCGAGGTTCGGGATGCCTGACCTAGACTACACAAATTACTAAAGGTTTTCTTTGCTCTTATACAAACTCACCAAAAAATTATGTCTGCCTAGAAACTTAGGGCCTACTGTAAACTATTTCCTTAAAAAAATCTATATCGAAAAAAATCTGTTAGCGTTTTAAGGTAAGGCTGTTTTATAAATCTTTAACCATTTTTGCATTAAAGCCTTTAAAATAAGCTAGGAGGAGATGGCAGATACCTGTTAAACAGAGCAAGGGTTTATTTTTTGAGTGAATGCCAAATGTAAAAGCAGAGTGGTATAAAATTCAAAAAATATTTTAAGGTTAAGAAAACAGTTTTTGTTTTTACAGATTTTTAGCTATGCTTTCTTCTCTAGAAAGTTACTCAAATTGCTTAAAACTTTTCTTATAAATACAGAACTAATGCTTTATGGTGATATTTACCAACACCAGAATACCAAAGTTTAAATGTGGAAGAATGATCTGTTTAATGTTAGACAATGCGCCTATTTTATTACCCGATATTATAATGTTCTGCATCAATATGCATCATGCTGCTGCATATTTCACGGCATTTCTGTTGTTTTGAAATGCTTTAGAGAATTTTGGGTGTACTTTTCCTCATTATAAAATATGAACATGTGATGGCCTGAAGCCTTTTCCAGACATGAATTCCATCTTTCCTGATGAGGTTAGATATGGCGCCTTTTTGTAAAGCAACGCATAATCTGAAGCCATTAGAGTAAAGATTAATTTTCTTGATGAGGGAGGAAGAAGAGTGAGGGAGCGAATGAGAGAGAGAGAGAAATGGTATTCGACAGCTTTCTCTCTGCAGTATATCAGAGCTGCTCCCTTTACATTGTTACCGCATGCCTTCTGGGTAAAATCTACACACACTCAAATATCACTCAGAGCTGAGGCATCAAAATAAAATAAAACATTTACCTCTTACTGAAAATTACAGAAGGATTTCTATGAAACAGAATTAAAATGTTATATAAACAAATAACTGCGTTTTTTCTTTTTTCTTTATTTTTAGAAGTTCAGTATTAGGGTTGTCTTGGCTTCACTGTTTTATGCTGGTTTGCTGTCAGCTCTGTTTGCATGTCAGCTCTGAACAGGATCAAGTGTTTTTCTCATTCTCATAAGGTTTCTCACTTCTGTCTGCATTGTAGACCTGATGGTTTGCTAAAGCAGGCAGAGACACCAAGTTACACTGGAAATATGGCGAAATATAGGCAGAAAAAAGGTGGATAACTGTAGCAAAGCTGCTTTTTCCTTCTTTTTTTCAAAAAATAAAACAATCCACCCAGCGACTTCCACATGTATTTGCAAAGACTAACCTTTAGCTTTGTTGATGGTGACGTAGAGAGATCCAGTAAAGGCTAGGTCATGCCTGGAGCAAAGCATCGTCGGGCTGGCTCTCTTGGAGAGGCCTTGCCTTGTCACTTTCACTCAGCTGCCCCCACCTCACTTGGTCGAGCCCTCCCTCTTCCTGACTGACAGGAGAATATGTAGCGACAAGCTGTCGGCCGTTGCTAAAATCTGCTTAGACACTGATTTCAGGGACTGCTCCCATTGGTTTAGACAAGAGACAAATTTATTTCTGTGTCTCTTGCTGAAGCCACTAAAAACAAAGACTTGACTAATCACACTGTTTTAAAATTTATGGAGATAAAATTCTGTGGAAATCGGTTTGCCTCATTTAAGATGCCTTGGCTTGTTGCTCCTTCATGTTATTGTTATCAGACAAATTATTAAATCATTTAAAAAAGCCTTAGACATAGCAAAATCAAATAAATTCCAGTTTAACATGGTTTACACATATCAGGGGGAAAAGTAACTATATCAAACCAAAATGGCCATCTGTAAAAAGTGATCACCACCTAAACCGAAAGGAGGCTGAAACACCTGTTTGCCATAGTTTAGCTATAAGAGGATAAAGTCTTTCACAATTCTGGACCGGGTTTTGACCAACTTTACTTCATAGAATAGTTTTAATTCAGCTGCTTTGGTGCGTTTTCCCATCATCTCTGTCAAATTAATTCCAGACTTTGACTAGGCCACTCCATACTCTTTTTAAAGCACGATCAATAGTGGACTGGCTGATGGGCTAGATTGCTGTCCTGCTAATAACCCAGGTGGACTTAAGCAGCTCTCCAGATCTCTTTTTACAGGATTTTCTGGTAGAGAACAGAGTCCATTTTTTACTTTTGAATAATGAACATTCCCTACTGTATATTTGCCAAAGAGGCCAGCAATGCCACAGATGTTGCTCTTTGGTTGTTTGTTGTTGAATTGATCCATCAAACAGCTGATTTCCACTGGTTAGGCAGTATTTAGGCCTGACTGTAGCTATGTAAACCGACAAAAGAAAATGGGTCATTTCACAGTTATAAAAACATAAATACAAATTTTTGTAAATATTTTTTTCATAGGATCAAATAAATCCTCATTTTAAAATTGCATCATGCATTAACTCTTATTGTATTTGTTGTACATTAAAGGTGGATTCATCTGAAACATAAAGTGTGATGATAGAAATAGCTTTAAAGTAATCTAACACAATAATTAAAATAGTCTCAGTTCTCCCACTCCTTTAATTTTTGCAGCAGTTTTTAAATCAAGTCTCGATTTTTCTCCTTTTTTTTTCCTCATTGCCTCAGGCTAATGGAGGATGGCAAGTTGCAAGGACTCCATCTTCTGTTATCTCTCCCACAGAAGGACCTGGAAGTGTGCACTCGGACACCTCAAACTGAAAAAAGCATCTTCCCCTGCAGCGCAGCATGGACTTCTTCATTTCTCAAACACTGAGGAGGAATAAAAAAAAACAACTTTCCTTAAGATTTCCCGCTGGCCACAGTGCACACATGCAAAATGGCATCCTCCATTATGGACACCAAGTGTTTCCTGATCGCTTATTGTTTTTTTTTTTTTCATGAAGTAACTGTTATCACCATGCTTTTTACTCCTTTTTTTATTTAGTGGTAAACTCACTGACCTACAAATGTTCAGGATAAACATCTCCGGCTCTGCTCAAAATGAACCAGATGACATTTTATGACATTTTAAACGCCCCGTTTGTTCGATTCCCTGTTGGATTGCCGCTCTGCATTTTAATAATTGAGCTTTCTCTTTCGTTTCTTTCAATTAATGCAGCTGTTTCTTTGGTTCTAATGTGCTTGCCGCCTTGTCCGGCGACTCAACAATGCCTAGGCTGACAGCTTGGCGGCAGCTTCACAGTTACTTTTCAAGATAAATTTTTTTGTCTTACAACTGTGCATATGAGTGCAAGAAAATGACTATTCAAACTGTGGAACATAAAGAAGCTTAATTGATTACTTGACTAAAACATGACACGGTTCCATATTTTATAATTTGACGTTTTTTTGTACATATGTAAACATTTCTTTTGTACTGCTTATGGAACCAACAAAGCGCCCCCTCAGTAGATCATCCTGACAGGGCGAACAGGAGCCCGCCCCGTTATGCTGGAAAAGTTGTACATAATATAGTTTAAGAGTAATTAAACATCCAACCAATCAATACACCACTTTCTTACCTCATTCATAGAAACCAATCATTTGCAACATTTCAGTAGCTTAGAGTGCTCACTTACTACCTCTAAACAATATCACCACCATACCTACTTTCTTTAGTTTCTGGTCCTTTTTTAATGGTTTCATTTTTCTTATTTTAATTACATCTCACAACAGTGTAAACTCTTAATTTGCTATGTAATCTAATGTATATTTTAATCTTTTAATAAAATGGTGTTGCTGTACTGCAACTTAAAATAAAAACAAAAAATAGAAATAATATTAACACAATGGGGTTAAAAAGACGGGGATCTTGGGAAGAAATTGTTGGTTAATGGCTTTTATTGAGGGGGGGGGGGGGGGGTGATAAACACCAAACAGTTAAACTGTTGTAAATATTGAATAAAAAAAAAAAACATTTTGAATGTTGCTCATCTTGTTACTAAATCATTCAGGAAAAAAAAAAAAAAAATCACTATAAAAAGTGTAATGCATAGAGGTTTCCGTATTCAGAACTGCACATTTTCAGCTCTGTTCAACAGAGTTCCAGACTTCTTTTTTCTCTTTTCTTTCTATTGTATGTGATTCTGAAACTGAAAAAAAGTCATGACAAATGATTTGTGGCAGTGATTCTAATGTATTAAAGATGTTTAGTGTTGCTTTCTAACCAGACTACACCCTGGACAGAAAAGTCTTCCTTGTGGTAGTTGTGTAATTTCAAACATGAATAAAACTTTTTGCTTTAATGACACCAAGGAGTTTCTTTGATTATTTGTTGTTAAAGCTGGAAAGTCAAATGTTCTTATTTTTTTTACACATCAATCTGCAAATGACTAATGCTGAAAAGCTCCTAGACAAAAGAATGTAGTTTGTTTCATTTAAGTGCAGGAAAGATTTAAGTGAAATATGCTGATGAAGATTCTCAGTCATCCTGGTCATAGTCATTCCATAAAAGTTTAAAAAACAATCCACAGTGGATTGTTTTTTTTTTTACTTTTATGGAATTTAAGTGAAATTTAAGTGAAATGCAATTTAACTAACCTTGTGAAGCTCTTTATGCACCTTTAGCTTTTTTCCCCATTTCTGCATGTTAAAAGCAGGCTCAAATAGATGTTCTTATCATAGAGCAGGAATCCTCAATTCCAGTCCTTTAGGCCCATTGTGCTGCATCCTTTAGATGTGTCTCTACGTCCGCATGGGGAACCTGAATGTAAATGCAAATCACTTTTTACATTTATATTTATAAAAAAAAAAAAATATATGATTTCCATCAACTTCACAGATTTGTGACATTATGTTTTAGTCTCTCACAAAGTCTGTGGGCCAAGGGGTGTGAATACTTCTGTGTACACTCTATGAGGATGCTTTGTGCGGCTAAAGCGCGAGGATCCAATTAGAAGCTACTGTTAGCTGAGATAGTTAGTGCAATTAACTGAAATGTCAGACACTTCTAATTCAGGCTATTTTGTCTGTCTGTTGTGAAAAGGCTGGCTTAATGGATCATTGGTTAGCAATTCCACATGGAAATTGACATCCATTTATTCTCATTTTCACAGCAGAGTTCTCCATTTCCGTCTCTTCCCCTTCTCAGCTTGTGTCCCGCGTTTGTGTCACTCATTCTTGGACCTTCTTGGATTTTTGGCAACATTAAAAAAAAATAATAATTAAAGAAAACAATCCAGTGCTGCAAGTAGAAGGTTCCCTTTTTTTCATGGCAGCATGCAAACACAAACATGTGGCTTCATCTGAACATATGATGGTGGGGGGAAGCAGAAAAGAGATGTAACAGCAGAAGTTTAATTCAAGCGCAATGCACAGACGGTTTCCCGGGAGAGCACATTTGTCCACTCAACCAGTGCAGAACTTCATTGAACACCTTTCTCTTGAAATCATATCTTTATCCTGAATGTTGCACATCCATGCTTCAGATCTTTGTCTCCATTTTTCACAAGGCAGTTTAAACAGGAATATTCTGCTGCTTTTGAAAGACAACAAAAAAAAAAACAGCTTTTTTATTTCCCATTACAACCTAATATTTCTTAATGCATGTATTTATTATTGATATAATACATTTCTGCCACAAACCACGTTGTATATTTCTTAACCTAGACAATTCTGGGATAATTAGAATATGTGCATTTTAACATAGCTGGCTCCACTGCTTTTTGCTTGCTTGTTCTGCCTTTATTAATAAATACATTTACTTTCCTAGATTTTTGCCTGCTGGATTTTAAGCAGTGCACTCTACAGAATTGCTCTAAGAACCTTTCTCAATAAAGAAGTAACATTTTCTTAGATTACGCCTATAAGAGGTTTTTCTAAGGTTCATTAAGGACGACATTTTCTAAGTAAAATTCACAGTGAAAAGCATGCATCATTAAATATGGAAATTCAGAATTATATTAGCAATATGCACCAAGCTAGTGCCAATTAAATTAGAGAAAGATATCATTTATATTATTAAGGTAGGGTTCATATTAGATTAAATATAATGTAATTTTTGTCACGGCTTGATTTATTGCTCACAGTGTATTGTTCAAAGACCCATGTAACACCACATTTTAATAGAGTGATTGTTTATATTAAAATGTAAAATATTGTAATTGCTTCCCACTAGTAGAATATTAGACTGCTAGACTGCTATGAGGTTTAAACTAAAAGTTCACTGTCTGGGATGTATTGATTATTTATTTTCGTACTTGCAGAATGTGATTCCAGTCAAACCGCTGCACCAAACCAGAGGCAAGGCTCCAAAACCAGGGAAGCATTAAGGCATTCTGCAACACTTAAGTAATGTGATATCAAAGAAGGGAATAAATACCTTTGGGCGGAGTCTGTGACAAAATGTTGCAGCTTTGATCCCTGATCAAAGATTGCGACATCATAAGGAAATGCACAAGCCTCAGACTATACCCCCCCCCACTTTTTCATAACTTCATCTGACAATAATAGTCCATCAAAAATCATTGTAACGAGACAAAATAAGTAAATAAATAAATAAATTAGACCGCTTTTCTCTGCTGAATAATTCTGAGGATTGCCGCCAGTATATTTTTAATTTGTGATTAGTAAATCCACCTCAGAATACTTACATTAGATCAGTCAAGTTTAGTTTGCAATATTCTACATTTGTATTGTAGCTATATTTACAATTCTCACCTCTCTAAACAATTTACACATACTGTATCTTTCTATTTATATTAACAGGTGCATCTCAATACAGTAGATTGCTATCAAAAAGTTAATTCATTTTAATTCAATTCTGGTAGGTTTATTTATATAATGCTAATTCACATCAGCTCAAGATAGAGAGACAATTCAATCAGCTCATCCAGTCAGATTAGTTTAAAGGTTTCTATCTACGGAAAACCAGCTGATTCTATCCAGTCATTGACTTTGCAGAATTCGCTCCTCGTGGATGAGCATATTAGGTAATTAAAATTGAAGGATTAAATATTTGTAGATTTATAACACAGCCTGATGCATTTCAGGTACTTATTTTTCATCATCATCTTGTTGCATACAATTTACAGCTGACATAAATCCTGAACCTGGTGTCTCAGGAAATGAGAATATTAGATAGGACCATAAAGTGATATATAAATATCAAAGAAGGCTTGAGAAGAAGAAGAGTAGAAATTGGTGGAAAAGTAGTGGAAATAGGTGCATTGGTAAAAAGGCTCATCAAAACCCCAAAAAAGCTCTGGATACAAAGCTCTCTAAGCACTGACTCAAACTGCAGTTCACATTTTGCAAATATATACTCAAAATTTGCTTCATGTTAACCTGAAGGCTAGATTTTCCCTGGTATTTTTGTATTCTGTTTTTACCACACGTGTTTCCTTACATTTAACATTCTTTAAAGATCCTTGCATACAGCAATCTGTGAACAGACATGTTCTTAAGAAATAAACGTTTGTGAGATATTTTCTCAACTTGGTCAGCGCTGGCCCATCGTCTGCTGCTTGAAACTCCTGACTGTCATGTAGTCCAAAGGTTGTTGGATTATAGTATCCGTCTGTCTAATGTCAATGGGCCACTGGGCAAGGCTCTGAACCTCAAGTTGGACGTTTGGAAAAGCTCTTGGGGGATTGTGACTATAGCATAAAGTGCTTTGAGTGGCCAGTACACTGAACTCAGTAAAATGTCCGTGTCATTTGGTCAACTTGAAATGTTGTTCAAGTTAAAATATGTATTTATGGTTTGAAACCATTAATTTCCCTTTTACTGTGCTGGTGAAGATTCTCGGCCATCCAGGTCATAGTCATTCCAAACAAGTTAAAAAAGTCAAAAAACAAACCACTGGACTTTGTTTTCCAAGTTTGAAGAAGTTTCGCTTCCCATCCAGGAAGCTTTTTCAATTCAAAATGTCTATATATGGAATAGCATTGAGTTTTAAGCTTTATAGAGTAGCCCAACAAAGCCTTCTTACGGTTTAGAAAACATGCAAATTAAACTGGAAGAACAGGTCCACCCCTTAGTAATAGGGAGTTTTTGAGTATGTATTAAGCCTGCAATACCCGACAATGGCCTGTGCCTCTGACTCCGCCTTTCAGAGGAGTTATGCAATAACATGTATGTCACATGTTTTTTTTACATGACTGAAATAAGTTAACTTTTATTCATTGTATGTACTGATATTACTGCAAGGAAGTAAATGGAACAAAATGGCCTAAGAAAATCAGTTTGTTGTAAATAGTTTTTTTTAAGATAAAGTGCAGAAATGTAAAGCAATAAAACAAACACTTAAAATAAAAAGGCATTTAATTTTTTTATTGTATTAATTTAAAGCATCAGAAGCGCAGAAAAGATTAGAGCTATACATCTACCTGAAGGTTTTTCTACTGAATTTACAGGGGGCCCTTAGTTGTTTCTTAAACATATCAATCAGTACATCATAAATGCTTATGTTAATTAGGAAGTAAGACTAAATACTGTAGTAAATACTTATTAGGAGCATCATTATAAACTCAAAAATTTGAAAAAAGAAGGAACATCATTTAAATAATGAGTTTGGTGTCAACTTTGACTGTTCTTTATAATGGTAACAGATAAAATGTTATGTCTTAAGAAAAAAAAATAAAGAGGTATGCTGATTTTAACTGCAATAGAATAGAACAGAATAGAATATAATGATCCATGTGTTTTTAAAGGGCCTTTTACTATTTACTGTAAAATATTTGTTTAAGTATTGAATGAGTATCCACCGAATGTTTTTCTCTTTTCCATTAGAGATTTATTAAATACATGTGCATAAAACCAGGCAGAGAAAGTTGAAAAAGCAGAATGATATACTGAGCAGAGGTACAATGGAGAATAGACTCCATGCACTTATCTGTCCACCTTCCACTGTAAGA